GTGCATGATGTCCATGGCATCCTTCACGCTCTGAATAATGCCGTCATTCTCCTGCACTATGGGGATCATCACATCATCAACAAAGGTAATATCCACCAACGGGTTGACATCGTCCCCAGACTTGCTTACCAGATCACACTCAGATTGATATCTACCCAGATCTAGCACCATATTCGCTGCCTGCAGACTCCTATGTACCAGTCCTAACGGCTTAGTGAAGACAATGTTTAAAAGGTAGTCTGCAGTAGCACACCCAGGCCTCGTCCCTCTTGTTGGCATACCCAGTTGCGTGGAACCCCCAACTTCAAAGCATACCAACCGCTGTGACTCTGCCACCAGCGTAGCCAGATGGGGGTCCACACGTTGATCGTCCAGCAAGGCCGGCTGTGATAGAATATGGCTGGCCAAAGGTACCAAACAGATGGGGATATCACAATCATGCAAGATCGCTTCTGGTTCCTCCTCCAAGTACTGCATACTGCTAGCCATCTGACGTATGATGCGATGGAACGCCGCCTTGAGATCCAAAACTATAAATGCCACTGATCCCTGATTCTTTGCAGCCAACTGTGTGATCAGACGTGCCTGTTGCGACGCCATCACTGGTGACCTCCTGGGTCTACCCCCAATGTGCAAGTCCCTCAACATAAAGTCCAACGTGTATGCTAGTTGTCTCCTCAAAAATCGGTAGTGGTGTTTGGCGAATACATTGCAAATCGTAACTGCCCTGAATGCCTCGTTCGTCGAGGGATCCCCTGCATTCTTTGATACTTCCCCCAATCTACTATGCTTGAACGCGATGGGTTCCCTCCCACTCGCACATACTTTCACCAACAGCAGGTTGACCAACTTTGCGATCTGTTTGGGTGCTGCATGCAATACTCTTTCTAACAGCCCATCGGTACCCGCAGCTCGCCTTCGTGTCCCCTCGATAGCCGATATTCTGTATCCGCCAAGTGAGGAAGCATCTCAATATTCAACGGAACATTCCCAAGCGCAGTACTCGGAAACTTCTCGTATGTCTCTGCATACTCCTGTGCCGAAGCCACTTTCGCATCCTCCAGCTTGCTGTACACTCGCATCCTATTCGATCCCATTCCTTCCTCTGATGTAGTGACCTCCCCCTCATCGTCCTTTCTATATGGTAAAAACTTTCCACTTGAAAACCTCGGATGCTCTCTACCTCCGCACCGCAATAGCTTTTTGGCTGCCTGCCATGCCTGTCGATGGTCACCAGGTAGTGTTTTTGCTCCAATCTGCTCCGCATATCCAACCAATTTGTCATCTTTCTCCCTTTCCAACCGCCAATTCAGTATATTTGGGGTGATCCGCATGAATGCTTCCATTTGGTATTTGAGCTCTGTTTTGGTCCATATCTCATTGTTCAGGAACTGCGCGCCCAACACCAGCTTCTCCGCCTCCTCATGCCAAGGATCGCCCTCCTGCGAAAAAAATGGTATTGGGCTGGCAGGAACTTGCATACATTTTGAAATGGTTCGCTTTCTCCTCGCCGAAAGTGCCTTAGCCCATGTAATACATACCTCCGCAACCTGATGAGCCGCATCGTGTCTCTCGTAATGTATGGCTGCGCTGGTGTGAATATGTCCCTCGCAAAACATCGCCGTGCTGCATCCTTAACTTGCCTCATTACATCGGCATATTGAGAATTAACATCCTGCTGCCATGGCCCTGGTTCGGCTTCCTCTAGGAGTCCTCTGAACCGCTCACAAAAATCTTCCTGCTTCATTTTATCGTATGATAAGTAAACTTGACCGCTCTCCACCCTTGGTGCTGCGATATGTTGGCATGTCATTCTTACGACAACTGGTCGGTGATCCCCCTTGCCCAGCCCATTGTCCAGGTTGGCAGTGACACGTAATCCTGCCGCAGCTTGGAACCAGGATCCGACTATGCCAACGTATTCCGTCCTGTGCATGACCGCCCCGTCCGTGTACGCCCAACACTCATCATCACCAACCGAGGTATTCTACAGATGTATGTTATGTATGTTCACAAATTCAGCCAGCATCTTCCCAGTTTCGTCGATCTTGCTGGTCGGTAGACTATCTCCAATTAACGGCATCTCCATAACACTCGCATCTGTCCGCGCATTCGCGTCCATCAGAAAGATGTCCGTTGGATGCTTCTGGACTACTTCCGCTTGCTCTTTCCACCACCGTCGTCTTTCTTCTACAGGCCGCCCCCTCGGTGGGGCATGCGTCACCGCCGCCCTTATCTGAAGATGAGGTGCCTTAATCTGCACTACCAAGCATGTCGGTGCCTTATGTATCACTCGCAAATGCTGCTGTCGTAAATAAGAATCCTGCTTTTCACCTGTCGCATATGGTATCGTCGTGGAAACCAACAAGGCACATCCATGTCCACCAGCGTCTGCTCCTGCTCGAAGGGTCACGTATCCATCTGCCCATTGCTGACCTTCTCGCTCTCGAGCCTCCTGCATTCCAACCATCAATAGGTTCTCGTCATGAAATTGAAGCCT